AAAAGACATGAGTCTGAAGCTGAGAATCTTCTATTCCTTGGTAATCAATAATTCCTCTCTCTAAAGTAGCTTTATCTGTGTATCTAGTTGCTCTTGGACAATGCCAACGGATTACCAGACATTAACAGAAATGCACTGCTATTGATGTACCTTTCAGTCACACCGCTATCAATAGGTCAGATCAGTGCAATCTGATATTTTTGAATGCGAAATAAAAAAGGTCACAAGCAATTAATGCATGTTGCTTCGTAAGGGTAAAAATGAATTGAGGTGAGAGAGAGAGAGAGAGAGTAGACAAAATTATGTGTTCTGGGAGCAGACTGAAAGGAACTTGGTCTTTAAGAGGATTTTATGGCTGTTTTCAGAGACTGTCCCCAGGTGCTCCTCCCCTCTTTTGCACCAAGCTTTCCATGCTGTTGCAGATAGGGAACAGCAAAAACCACTCCTCTATCTGATTTGAATTTATCCGTCGAAAGTAACAAAAAAACCACCAAGGAAATGCAAGTAATTCTTTCTGGAAACAGGTTCCTGTTGCTCAGCCTGATGTAAACAAGCTCTGATAGGGCTCATCATTTTTCTTGAACTAGATCTAAAAATATTAAGATTGACATTTATCTTTGGGCTGCTAGACATCTGCAACCTAATGAATAAAGAAAGACACACAAAAGAAGACATCGATAAGGGATTCAATATTCTGAATATTATTTTAAGAAAAGTCATTGTATTTTGTTCTGCATGGCTTTCCGGGAAGAATTAAAAAGGAATTAATGTAAATGAAGTATGATCTGTTTTTTCTTTACAGTATAGATTGTTTTTTCAGGAAACCACACAACTGCTCCTTCACTCCATGTCAACACACGCAGTTGTTAAAAACAATTCTGATCAATCACAACAATCTGGCAAAAAGGTTCAAATGTATCTTTTTGATACAAAGTCCAGCAACAACATCATAGTGTGTCAGGTCCCTTTTCCTACTGCAAGCGAGGCTTGAAAGAAAGGGGGTTTTTATCTGTACTATGATATTTTTCCAACTGCATGGCCCACATAGCCTTCTTCCGATTCCACCCCATGTCTGCCAGCTCATACTCCAACCAGATGTAAGTGTAACTGAGTCGTGGATACTCACACCCCTAAATCCAGAATATAGGCCTCGGTTTTTGCTTGAACACTATCAGCTACACTGTTTGAAGCTTTACTTTACTGGCATTATTTCTAGTTTATCCTTCCAGAAATGTGATAAGAATGAAAGCCTTTCAGTTCAGGTTTGGTAATGTCTCATCCTCCCTTTCAAAATCTTTATTCTTGGGTGTTCCCAAGCCAACTAAGGGTATTCCAGTTAAAGTCTGTTTCAGCTCTGTTCTTAACAAAGTCATCATTCTCATAAGAAGCCCCCCATAGCCTTGACCACTGGAGGCTCCACTCAGCAGTGCCCATATTGAATAGTCCCAAGAAGGAAGACAAGAAAGAATGAGGGGAGCCCGGGGACTTGCTGCGTTAGGAAACAGACCTGGCAAGGGAGCTGCAGCAATTCAGCTCCCTGACCTTTAGCTGAATTTTTCTCAGCAACTGAAATTATTAACAATCTGACTGAGTAACTTTCCATGGCATGGGAAACTGGTTCATAAGGAGATCTTGCTTCATACAAGAGAAAATGTCTCTGTATCCAGGGGATTAAAAGTCCCAGTATGACTAAAACTGGAGGCTATAATTGTACATGCTCCTATGAGCTCACATTAACTCTACGACACGAGTGGGATTCAGAGGAGTATATCAGATGCACGGTTTGTTCCACGTGGGGAGTTTAATTTTGAACTGGAACTCCTCTAACATGTAATTATACCCACATGTCCAAGCTCACCTGCTATCTGTATCAGTGGCATTATTTCTTGAGATGCTTTAATGCTCTTTAAAATAAAAATTGTGAATGGTCCAAGTCCCTGGGAAGATAACGGATAAATCCTTCAACAGGCTTCTGATGAGGGTTTTGACCGAGGGAAACATCTGTGTGTTATTATATTGACACATAAGTTTTGAAATAGAGTTGAAGGCAGAGAGATACTGAATTGAAAGAGGCTAAGGGAGCTGAAAAAGTTAGTTTAAAAGAAATAATTAAATCTAGCTCTAAATCGTGCTTCTCTTCAGGAGAGGTAAAAGCGGTTTTGCCATTTGAGAGGTAAGTGAGATGCTGAAGGAGACATGACTTGGCCCCAGCGATGCAGGAGGCAGTAGCAAAATGCTGAGTTAGCACTTGTATGTCAGTGGAAGGGCTGTAGGACGTTACAGAAAGGTGAATGGCTTTCCTGGGATATCATCTGTTTCAGATAACCCAAGAACTCATGCTACTAGAATTTTGCAAAAAAGTAAGTAAATTCCCATGGAAGAATAAAATCTCTTTCTGCTTGAGTGTCTACTGTGCTAAGAGTACTGTCAGGGCAACACCAATTAATAAAATACACACAATGACACATGAAGCTTCTGTTAATATCAAATACTGAACTCTGTTTTGGGATGTAGACAGATGTATATGTTTTTGCAGACGAGCAACTTAGAGCACAGATTACACACCAGTCTCAAAAAGGATGCGATTTCAACCCGTCAAGAGCGTTCAGCACTCAGTAGGATGACATAAGGTCATATCAAAGTCAGTATTAAATGATTTGTCTAAGCTCACCTAGCCGTGTGCAGCAGTGTTGCAGAATGAACCTAGTTGCTGTTGCTCTCTACCTCCTGCTGCAAGAAATGAACACGACTGCAAATCAAGGATAAAATGAATCACAAAATGATTCCCTCATTACTCAATTCTCCATTTCAGAAAAGAACAGGTACAGACGGATGCTGTATAAAATTCCTCCAAATCACCCACTATTTTTTTTTTTTTTTTCCCCAAATCTATCTCAGAAACAGATCTCCTGGTTCTCACCTTGGCCCCAGAGGGTGATGCACTGCTGCTCGTGGGTCTGGCATATGCCGTTGTAGCAATAGCCGTCCACCCTGTGGCACGCGTGCCCGTCGTGCAGGTACACGTTAGCTGGGCAGTGAGGGCTGGCTCCTGTGCAAAACTCAGGCAGATCGCAGGAATTACTTGACTCTCTGCAAGAAATCCCCGCTGGTTTTAACTGCAAAACAAACAAAGCCCCTTAACTGCTGTAATTGCAGTCCACCAGAGTTATGCAGCCGTAGAACCCATGCAGCGCACAGCTTTTTCCACTGGCTCCGCACCAACTGACCGCAGAGCACAGTGCAAGGATTACGCAGCTCTCGAAACACATTTATTTGACACACGTTGCGAAGGGTTTGGCAGGAAGGAGGGCCAAACTGAACTTGCAGCTGCAAACACGGCTCACGTGGCTCAGGTCAGGAGGTAAACCCCGTCTTTAGTTTTCAAATACAAACCAAAGTCGCCAGAGTGCCTCCTGCAACCGTGCCTAGACACACAGGCACAGGAGCAGTTTGGGCTGTACTGCAAAGGCTGCTCTGTAGCACTGACCAGAAGTTGGACCAGAAACCTCTTCATCCCTACGGCTGTGACAACACAGCAGTGGCCAGGGCAGCCAGGGCACCACGTAACATTACGTTATGTGTTATGTTATGGCTCACCAGCCCCCCCTGACTCTGGAATCGGCTCCCTGATAGCTTCCTGGGATGGAGGTGCATTTCCTCGTGGAGTTGTCACTCTGTCATGAGCATCAAGATCTTGGAATCATAGAAAGGTTTTGGTTGGAAGAGACCTTGGAGATCATCGAGTCCAACCTTTGTCCTAGCTCTATCAACACCACTAAACCATGTCCCTAAGTGCAACATCTGCCCGTCTCTTAAACCCCTCCAGGGATGGTGACTCCACCACCTCCCTGGGCAGGCTGTTCCAGTGCCTGACAACCCTTTCAGTAAAGAAATTCTTCCTGATATCCAGCCTGAACCTCTTCTTCAACTTACTTGTACAACTAGTCCATATAACTGTTGTTTATGCCCTGATTTTCCTGGATAACTACATTTTTTCAGAGCTGAAGGCAACTAGCAGGTAATGGTGGAACATGACAATCTGAACGTATCAACCACAACCACAAAAGCTGGGTGTGCTCTGGGAGCAGCACTGAATTTTAACCGCATCACCACAGCACCTTCGGTAAAAAGCAAAAAGACATGAAGATCGATTTTGCTAAAAAGCACTTGCTGGCTGTTTTGATAGCTTGCTGCTACTGAGCTTTTAGGCAGATGGTTGCCACAGACACAATGGAAACTTGCTGAATGCTTTATTAGCCCATATGCAAGAGAAAGTCTGAGAATTCAAGGAGGTAAATGCCTGCAGCAAGTTGGCTTTTTATAGTACGTTAGGAATCCACAGGAGCTGATGATCTGCCATTAAAAATATATATGCTGTTGATAGAATTAATATTTTAAGAGTCTTCCCATGAAAAGAAGGTCCAGCATTTAATGACTGCTTGCCAGAGCACAACATCCTTACAAGCATGAAAAAAAATCAAAGCATAGAAAAGTTTTTTTATGAAAAAGAAGAGGTTTTGCATGAGCAAACGAAGCGGCTGCAAGTAGCACAGACATCTTTAAAAATGTCCGTTGATCTGCTCCTTCAGTGACTGTTACCATTTGAGACTTTTTTTTTAATTGCTTACATGAAATGCAAGTGTCTTAGTGACTAATGATACCAGTTTGCTTGTTCTCCATCCTCGCTTACTGCTCTGCAGTTGGGAAGATTGTGGAATTCTGCCCACCCCACCCCGATAAGAAACGTGTCCGTTGGTTCACCTGGCAGTCTTCGCAGCAAAGTCCATGTGCACACACTGCTCCCGGTTTCAAAGTACAGGTAGTTGCATTACAGCACCGGTTTGTACATTCCTAGATGGAGGACAGATTTAGAGCAGACAACTTTCAGTCACAATGAGCTGTAAATCAAGAGGCTGCCTATAGCTCTGCCAAGAAAAGCTGGGAATGAAATCATGAATTATGCATGAAATTCTACAACTTGATCCAAACAGTCTTGTCTGTCCTTAGATTCAACAAGCACAATAATTGCAGTAAAACCAGAGAAGCCATTGAGGAAGGCTGGTTTGTTCTAGCTATGGATCTAACCCCAAATATCGCAAACAACTCAAGCATGCTGATACCAACCCTGATACAGTAGTACGGTGTTTTATTTCCACAAAAATCAGTGGAATGATTCCATTGCCTCCACTGAGGATCCAGGACCTGTGTGGCAGTTACTGGGCATCACAACCACAGCTCTCTATCTTGTGATAGTTGCTCAGCAGACTTCTGTATTGCATGTGGCTGCCACAAAGAACTATGATGATACTATTCCATATAATCCCTTATCAGTGTATGCCAGTAATAGAGCTTTGAGAAATAAAATGAGTATGAATTGCATTCTCACTAACTGATACATCCCAATTTCATAGTTATGGATTAGAAGGTGGCATGTGTGGGCTTTTGCAAACTTTATTCTCAGTAGAATGAGCTAGTGAGAAGTTTCAGAAAATAATGGATTTCTTTTTCCGAGATTATGCTCACAAGCTGCAAGTTACATCAGCTGTGCTGGAATCTCATCTCTCTAACAAAAATAGCAGCAGATAAAATTGCTCTTCAGCTGTGTTAAGTCAGTTTGACTTAACAAGGGATCACTAACAATATAGGGAACACAGGAGAAATAAGTGGGTTAGAATGATGTTCACAGCCTCTTGTTACTTTATTGGCTTTTGTAAAGCCTTCCAACTGGAAGAGAGGGCTACCACTGCACTCGCAAATAAAGAGCAAAATGATTCTCAGCATTTCACTGTTTTCTTAGATAATATCTGCCTGGATATACAAAGCTCACTGCGCTGCTCTGAAGCAGTGGAACCACTTCCTGCACCTATTTTTGATCGTGCCGGAAGGCAGCAGGCTACGCAAATGTTTCTGTGCAGCTGCTGTGTGTAAGAAGCAACGTTCCTCTGCGCAGAAGCACATTTTATAAAGTCACCTCAATGGCAATCTGTGAGAAGCAGACTGGAGGAAAGCAGTGTCAGTCCAATTAAGGTACTTCTGATATAGTCAGCTCCTATACCCCATCATCTGGCCCTACAGCAGCCAGCCATGGAGAGCAATCGGCATT